TTGTGATTGGCCCAAGGTCACACCAGCAGCTGCATGTGGAGGAGTGGGGAATCGAACTCGGTTCTCCCAGATTAGAATCCGCAGGGTCTGATCTCTGTTTTCTGGATATGATTTGTAATTCTAGGAGATCGCTAGGGCACACCTGGAGGTTGGCAACTTTACTCAGATGATGGGTGTGTGACTCTTCCTCCCATCTCCTTGCATCATGGGGCTGCCTTGTCTGCCCCAAACCTCAGCCGTTTTCCCCCAGAGGAGCTTGCTCGCTGTTGTCTGGACATCAGTGGTAATTCCAAGAGAACTCCAGGCTCGACCTGGAGGTTGGAAACCCTATAAGTAAGTGTTATGTATGGAACTGGATGTATGAATGTATGAGCTTGAGTCTAAGCCATGTATGGAACGGAATGTACGGTATGAATGTATGCGCTTGAGTCTAAGCACGGTATTGTAAACCGACCTATCAGAACAAGGGAAGTTCTGGAGGGAAGCAAAGTGATTGGTCTTTATGAACTGCATTCAATTGGACCTTAGCTGACATGTGGGCGCGGCTTGCCAAGCCCGGACTGTTTAAAAAGGAGCCTGTTGCGCCATGGATTTGTCTTGTTCTGGTTCTTCTGACTTTGTGTTCAATAAAGCGGTTATCACTGTTCACCTGCTGCCTCGAGTCTCGTATCTAACAGTCAGGCAAGCCCATCCCTTGGAAAAGGTAGGGCTCAGGACCCCAAACCTTTCCCTCAGCTCCCATATTATATTTTGGCCCAAGGAGTCATTCACACGTGGCATTCACTGGCACAGGAAGTGGTGGCGGCTACAAGCATGGACGGCTTCAGGAAGGGATTGAACAACTACACAGAGCAGAGGTCCAGCAGTGGCTTTTAGTCACAAGGTATAGATGGAACACTCTGTCTGGGGCAAGTGATGCTCTGTGTTCTTCGTGCTTCGGGGGTTAACAGCGGGAAGAGGGCTTCTAGTGTCCTGGCCCCACTGCTGGACCTCCTGAGGGCCACTGGTATCTTTGGCCACTGTGTGACACAGAGTGCTGGACTGGACGGGCCATTGGCCTGATCCAACATGGCATCTCTTCTGTTCTTATAAGAGGGAATTGGATAAACATATGGAGCAGAGGTCCATCAGTGGCTCTTAGCCACAAGGTATAGATGGAACATTCTGTCTGGGGCAAGTGATGCTCTGGGTTCTTGGTGCTTCGGGGGGCAACAGCAGGAAGAGGGCTTCTAGTGTCCTTGCCCCACTGGTGGACCTCCTGATGGTCCCTGGTATTGTTAGCCCCTGTGTGACACAAGAGTGTTGGACTGGATGGGCCATTGGCCTGATCCAACATGGCGTCTCTTACGTTCTTATGTCTGTGGAAGTGATGCTCTGTATCCTTGGTGCTTGGGAGGGGGGCAACAGTGGGAGGGCTTCTGGAGTTCTGGCACCACTGCTGGACCTCCTGATGGCCCCTGGGTGTTGGCCACTGTGTGACACAGAGAGTTGGACTGGAGGGGCCACTGGCCTGATCCAACATGACTTCTCTTATGTTCTTATTAGCGTCTAAAATTTCTCTGGGCTCACTCCTATGAACCCTCCAAACCACTACCCGGAAGTGATGTCAGCCCGTCGGCAGCGACGCTCTGGTTTTTGGCAAAATTCTATGGTAGAACCAGCTTCAAACCACAGAGTTTTGCCCAAAAACCAGAGCATCGCCTCCTGACATCACCAACGTGTCGGCGTCATTTCTGGGTGACACACGCATGGGGTGTGCGATGTTGCCTTTTTGGGGGGGACGGGGGGAATTCCTTCCTGCTGGCCCACAAAACTGGGGGACTGCCCGCCCCCACCAGGCAATTGGCAACTCTAGTCGACTAGCACCTTGAAGACTAACAAAATTTGTGGCCACAAATCTTGTTACCCTTCAAGGTGCCACTCCACTGTTGCTCTTTTCTAGTACCTCACCGAAGTCCTTCCCCTCCCCAAGCCCTGCCCTCCTCAGTCTCCACCTCCAAAATCTCCAGGAACTTCTCAACTTGTAGCTGACAACTCTGCTTGCAGGCAGGGCAAGGAGGACGGGCCCGAAAGCACAGACCCCGTTTTCCTAAACTGCCGAGACGAACCCTCACCCGAGGCCCTTTGCTCAAAGCCTTACCCCGTCCCTTGGCGACGAATTCAAGAGGATTATGGCACGCTGGCTGGCGACCAATGAGCCAGCCGAGGGTGGCATGACCGCAGGAGCGGGCACGCCCGGCGGGAGCTGGGGCTCTTCCCTTTGAACAGCACACACACACACACGTCCGGAGGAGGTTTGGAAAGCCGCTCGGTCTCCAAACAGGCCACCTCTATGGTTCATTGAATATCTCCTGGGATTACAACCAATCTCCAGGCGATTAAAGATCTGTTCTCCGGGAGAAAATGGCTGCTTTGGAAGGTGGACTCGAGGGCATTCTACCCAACGGACGTCCCGCTGCTCCCCAAACGCTTCCTTCCTCAGGTTCTGCCCCCCATATCTTCAGGTTATTTCCCAAGCCTGGAAGCCCCAACCATAGAGCCAATTTGGTGTTGTGGTTAACTGCGCAGACTCTAATCTGGGAGAACCGGGTTTGATTCCCCGCTCCTCCACTTGTAGCTGCTGATGTGACCTTGAGCAAGCCATAGTTCTGATAAGAGCTGTCCTTGAAAAAGAGCAGTTTCTGTCAAGAGCTCTCTCAGCCCCACCCACCTCACAGGGTGTCCGAAGGAGTCTCAGAGCGGCTGACAAACTCCTTTCCCTTCCCCTCCCCACCACAGACAGGGTGAGGTAAAAGAAGAAGAAGAAGAGATTGGAGTGGTGGGGAAGGGAAAGGAGTTTGTCAGCCGCTCTGAGACTCCTTCGGGTAGTGAAGGGTGGGGTATAAATCCAATCTCTTCTTCTTCTTCTACCTCACAGGGTGTCTGTGGTCGGGAGGGGAAGGGAAAGGAGTTTGTCAGCCGCTCTGAGACTCCTTCGGGTAGTGAAGGGCGGGATAGAAATCCAATCTCTCCTTCTTCTTCTTTTACCTCCCGGGGTGTCTGTTGTGGGGAGGGGAAGGGAAAGGAGGTTGTCAGCCGCTCTGAGACTCCTTTGGGTAGTGAAGGGCCATGGGGTATAAACCCAATCTCTTCTTCTTCTTTTACCTCACAGGGGTGTCTGTTGTGGGGAGGGGAAGGGAAAGGAGTTTGCAAGCCGCTCTGAGACTCCTTCGGGTAGTGAAGGGCCATGGGGTATAAACCCAATCTCTTCTTCTTCTCTTCTTCTATACCCTAGAAGTGAGATGATTGTCTTTATTTATCAAGAAAATGAATTGGAAGAGGTCTCCTGAAAGTTAAACCAGCAGCATCTTCCAGCTTGAACCAACTGCCTAACAATTTCAGCCACTGTGTTTCAAGACATCTTAACCTGCTCTCTCCAAATCACTGGTGACCTTTGAAACATCTTCATTAAAACCGCTCTCTGAACTTCCCCTCCAAGGAACATTAAGAGTTTGAAATATTCAGATGACACCGCGTTACTGGCAGAAATCAGGGACGACTCGAAATGACGAGTGCCGCCGGTTACTAGGGCGGAAAGTGCCAAAGCAGGATTACAGCTAGACCGTCAGGAAGACAAAAGGAATGACGACTAACGAATTGCACAGCCTCCAGGTTGACAATGAAGATATTGAAATGGTTCAAGATTTTGTATTCCTTGGCTCCATCAGGAGGAAGGAGGAGGAGATTGGATTTATACCCCGCCCTTCACTCGGAGTCTCAGAGCAGCTTACAAACTCCTTTCCCTTCCCCACCCCACCACAGATGCCCTGTGAGGTAGGTGGGGCTGAGAGAGCTCTGACAGAAACTGCTCTTTTTTCAAGAACAGCTCTTATCAGAACTACGGCTTGCCCAAGGTCATCCAGCAGCTGCAAGTGGAGGAGTGGGGAATCAAACCCGGTTCTCTCAGATTAGAGTCCGCGCACTTAACCACTACACCAAACTGGTGAAAGAAGAAGGGGATGGCAGAGGATGAGATGGTCAGACAGTGTTACCGATGCAATGAATATGAAATTGAGAAAACTCCAGAGGACAGCGGAAGACAGGAGGGCCTGGTGTGATGTGGTGCATGGGGTTGCAAAGAGCCGGACTCGACTGTTCGACTGAACAGCAACAACCGCCACCTTTTTTTTATTAATCACCAGCGACCCGGTTCCATTTGGGTTCAAGAGAAGCCCGTCTCTTTTTGCACAGGTCCAGCTTGTCCCAGAAAGTTCCCCAGTGCCAAACGGATCTAAACCCTTCCTCCCAGCGCCACTTTCTCATCCACACGCTGAGACCCATGATCTGGGCCCGTCTAGCCAGCCCTGCACGTGGAACCGGTAGCACTCCTGAGAACGCTACCTTTGCCCTGGCCTTTAACTTTCTGCCTAGTAACCTACATTCCCCCCCCCCCGGACCACATGACTACATCTCCCAATGTCACTGGTGCCGAATCCTCCCCAGCACCATCCAGCGCTTTCCCTCCTCCCCTCCCCTTCTGCCTGCAGAATGTTCCGGAGGTGAAGCAGGCAGCGGAGGGCACTGCTGAAGGTGATCATGGCCGTGACCAACCGCCTGTCCTCAACACCTTACATTTGCGGGTAGACTGCCTCTGCACATGGAGGTCTCACTTAACTACCACGACTAATAGCCAGTAAGAGACCTCTCTACCTGCTACCTGTTTTCTTATAAAGTAAACAGCCATGGTCACACATAGTGAGAGAACGTAGCATCTCAAAGAGGAGGAGGAGATTGGATTTACACCTCACTCTGCACTACCCAGAGGAGTCTCAGAGCGGCTTACAAACTCCTTTCCCTTCCCCTCCCCACAACAGACACCCTGTGAGGTCGGTGGGGCTGAGAGAGCTCTTTCGAGGACTGCCCTTGAGAGAACAGCTCTGAGAGAACTTGTGGCTGACCCAAAGTCACACCAGCAGCTGCATGTGGAGGAGTGGGGGATCAAACCCCGTTCTCCCAGATTAGAGTCCACGCACTTAACCACTACACCAAACTGGCTCTCAGAAGAAGAAGTCTCAGAGCGGCTTACAGACTCCTTTCCCTTCCCCTCCCCACAATAGACACCCTGTGAGGCAGGTGGGGCTGAGAGAGCTCTGACAGAAACGGCTCTTTTTCAAGGACAGCTCTTGTCAGAACTACGGCTTGCCCAAGGACATCCAGCAGGTGCAAGTGGAGGAGTGGGGAATCAAACCTGGTTCTCCCAGGTTATAGTCCGCGCACTTCACCACTACACCAAACTGGCTCTCTATTCTAGGGTCACCAACCTCCAGGTGGGGCCTGGAGAGCTCCCAAAATTACAACCGCTCTCCGAACTGCAGAGATTTGTTCCGCTGGAGAAAACAGCGGCTTTGGAGGGTGGGCTCTATGGCATTACACCCTGCTGGTGCAGTGGTTAAGTGCTCGGACTCTAATCTGGGAGAACCGGGTCTGATTCTCCACTCCTCCACTTGCAGCTGCTGGATGACCTTGGGCAAGCCGTAGTTCCGCCAGAGCTGTCCATGAAAAAGAGCAGTCTCTGCAAGAGCTCTCTCCGCCCCACCTGCCTCCCAGGGTGTCTGTGGTGGGGAGGGGGAGGAAAAGGAGTTTGTCAGCCACTCTGAGACTCCCAAGTGAAGGACGGGGTATAAATCCAATCTTCTTCTTCTGCTGCTTCTTCTCCCCAAATCCTGCCTCCCCAGGATCCAACCTCAAAACCCCCAGGTATTTTCCAGCCCAGAGCTGGCAACCTTCGGCTATTCAGATAATATATCACGGTGGATTCAACGGGCCGCTCGAGGAATTCTGGCCCGCCTCGCCTTAAGGCTACGCTTACACCGCTTCTCAGAAACTGAAATCCCATCCATTAACTACATCCTTGTTGACGACTCCACCAAAAAACCCCAAAAGGGGTTCGACTCCCTGCTTGGGGCACCTCTACCTCGTCCCCAGAAGGGAGCAGCCGTCGACTCTGTGATGCAGAGATACCAGCAGGAACGGATTTCCCTGAGACGCAGAGGAGAGATTCCGCATACCTGAACCTGTCTTGACAACGCCTGTTTCGCCCTTTCCTCCCAGCCAGGATGAGGGCGAGAAACTGGGTCGGAACGATGCCTCGTAACCAGCTCCTTTCCACGACCTTTGGCAAACTCCGATGAGTAATCTGTCAAAAAACAGTGGGTGAGACCAACTCACCTGTCAATGCGGGCAGGAGGAGTTCATCCTCTCTTGTTGGGAAGTCGCTATGTTGAACCTTATTAGCAATAGTTGCTCACACACACACACACACAAACACACACACTGAACCTAGCAAACTAAACCAGAGCAAGGCTAGTAACAGGGCAACAGAACCAAAATGCATTTGCAACTAAGCTATTTTTAGCCTAACGGTGCATAAAGATTTTTTGTTTTAATCCTTTTCTAGAAGACAAACATGCACTATTTAGGTCAGGCGGGTCACCGTGTCGATCTGAAGCAACCGAACAAAGTTTGAGTCCAGAGACACCTTGAAGACCCACAAAGTTTAATTCTGGGTAGAAGCCTTCGTGTGCAGGCACAAAGTGAACGTCCCATTCTGTTGGCTGTCCCACCTTATAGGTAAACGTAAAGGTTCCCTTGCTCAAAAGCCAGTCGAGTCCAACTCTAGGGTTGCGGTGCTTATCTCCGTTTCAAAGCCGAAGAGCCAGCGCTGTCCGAAGACGTTTCCGTGGTCATGTGGCCGGCATGACTAAACACCAAGGCGCACGGAACGCTTATACCGAGAATTAAAATTTAGGTAGAGGTTTCCCTTGCTCGAAAGCCAGTCGAGTCCGACTCTAGGGTTGCGGTGCTCATCTCCATTTCCAAGCCGAAGAGCCAGCGCTGTCCGAAGACATTTCCGTGGTCATGTGGGCGGCATGACTAAACACCAAGGTGCACGGAACGCTGTTCCCTTCCCACCGAAGCGGTACCTATTTATCTACTTGCAATTTCTTGCTTTCGAACTGCTAGGTTGGCAGGAGCTGGGGCCAAGAACGGGAGCTCACTCCGTCACGCGGCACACTCGGGTCTCGAACTGCTGAACTATCGACCTGGTCTGCAGCTCAGCGTCTGTTGGATCCCCAAGCATCGAGAATAAATCCACGTTTTAAAGAAAAGCAAAATTTATTTCAAAGCTTTGGAAAGACACTCAAACACGTTCTTTGTTAGAACTGACTACAAACGGTTAGGGCAAACATGATAAAGGGATTTGAACCAGGTACAGGACCAATGGGTCACTTTCCCGCTGGCGGGT